ACACATAGGGTCAGACTGGAAATCTCACCTTTTTGAGTAAGATTGCCATTTTCAAGATCCGCCTAGTCAAAGCCATGGTATTCCCTGTAGTAACCTACGGATGTGAGAGCTGGACCTTAGGGAAGGCTGAGCGAAGGAAGATCGATGCTTTGGAGCTGTGGTGTTGGAGGAAAGTTCTGAGAGTGCCTTGGACTGCGAGAAGATCCAACCAGTCCATCCTCCAGGAATTAAAGCCCGACTGCTCACTGGAGGGAAAGATACTAGAGACAAAGTTGAAGTACTTTGGCCACATCATGAGGAGACAGGAAAGCCTAGAGAAGACAATTATGCTGGGGAAAGTGGAAGGCAAAAGGAAGAGGGGCCGACCAAGGGCAAGATGGATGGATGGCATCCTTGAAGTGACTGGATTGACCTTGAAGGAGCTGGGGGTGGTGACGGCCGACAGGGAGCTCTGGCGTGGGCTGGTCCATGAGGTCACAAAGAGTCGGAGACGACTGAACGAATGAACAACAACAACAAATACTATTTTATATAGCACAGATCATCCCGCCCCCCCAAACCCCCCAAATATTCATTTCTTCCTCCACTTTTATGGGTTCAAGTTCACTTTATTATGGTCAATGACCAGTTTGAGAGAAGGGGGACATAGTTCTGCACAAGCATATCAAAGTTAAGGGTTAAGAGATTTAAAACTTTATACTGAGTATATCATTCTTAGACATTAAAACAATTCTTAAGAATCTAAGCTAAAAACTGTATAAAGGATTGTATTAAAATCCAACACAATTTATGAAATTAAAGGGAAGGGAATCTAAAGGGAGGAATAGAGGTGCTCACGTGGTACAGGAAAGGGAAGTCCAGTCAAACAAAGTATGTAATGCCAATTTTCTGCTAGTATGAAGCTCTGGCCTGTACTAAGTTGTGCTACCAGTAATCGACCACCGGATTTTAATCGCTGATGGGCAGAACTTTGTAACATTATAAATTATAACTGAGTTAGTGTCGGAAACAGTGGTTCTGAACCTGTGAGTCCCCAGATTTTTTGGCTTTCAACTTACAGAAAAGCCTAACAGCTGGTAAACTGGCTGGAATTTCTGGGAGTTGTAGGGCAAAATACCTAGGGACCCACAGGTTGAGAACCACTGGTCTGAAAGCAGCAGGGAGCTATGGTGTAATGAGACAGGTTTGAATATCTTTATAGAACAGGCACTGAAGAAGCACATGTTTCATTGTCTCTATATGTCCTGAGTCACAGGGGCACAGTCTCTCAGAATATGTGGTCTTCCCTTCCATGCTGGAGGTTTCCAGCTATCAGAGGGCCTTCACTCTGGCATGTTGCCATGCCCTCCCATTGCCATATTGGAAGGCCGCTACTGGCAGACCACATAGAACAGGCACTGAAGAAGCACGTGTTCCGTTGTCTCTATGTGCCTTAGTCCCTTTGAACATTTTTGAGCAGGCATTTGCAAATACAGTGTAAAAGACATAGGAA